ACAAGAGATAACAGATACAACACAGTAGGTACTCCACAGACATGGAATCCATACCTATGGAGATACATCAACTGAATAAACAAGTTCCAATTTCATTTCTGAAAATTAATGGTTTAATAAAAAATTATCAGTTGTGCAAACTATGATACCTTCTATACAGGTTTTCCACAAAAATGTATCTTGCACTGTGAATCGACCGCTCCATCAACCGTACCGGTGATGTCTAAAAGAAAACAAGAAGTGATTCACTAACACAGGCAAAGAGGAGGAGGTCAGGAAGCCTCGAAGAATGCCTGTTGCTCCCCCTGCCCATGGTCTGCGCTGAATACAAGAACAGAATGAGACAGTCACCAGAGGAGAACAGTATGTCCCACATTAGGCTCGGCACTGGCCCTGCCTGGGCCCTGGACCCTCCCCACACCCTGAAGCTCAGCGGCCAGTGCAGCAACACAGGGGCTGAGGGCTTGTCAGCAGCAGCCTCTTTCACAGGGGAGGTAAGTCTCAACTGGATTGTGGGTTTGGGGAAGTGCTAGAAAAACTGCTGAGTGCCGTCCCGCAAAGTGTTGTCAAGTGCAAAGTGTGGTTATTATGGACCTAAACAGGGTGCATGTGCTTAAGTGGAGGGATTGGAATGCCTGAGGTAGAGCTCCAAGAGGGCTGGGGTGCAGGTGACAATCTGGGGACTCTGCCATTGGTGCCTGAGGGTCTGGCTTTGTGGAACCCCAGAGAGATGCCAGACCTGTCAACTTCGCCACCTCCTCACAGGGCTGGTTGGGGATCACTGCAGCTCTTTGGAAACCGGGAAGGACTGTGCCCAGGAGGGAGGAGGGTGACCCTGGTGTTGTCCCTCTCTGCCAGGGAGCTCACGCTCTCCACAGATGACCTTTGCCTTTGTCAGTGTCCCTCTGGGAAGCAGGAGGGCCCTTACTCCTGACGCCAACTGGGCAAACACTGCTGTCACTCAGCCTGGCCCACAGAACCCACAGGGCCTGGATCAGAAAATCAGAGGCAGACTCAAAGCTATAACCCAGGAATTCCTGACTCTCTGTCTGTCTGTCCACCTGACTTCCTTTCCATTTTTCCATCCTCTCCTTACATATGCCTCTCCGCTGCCCACCTTTGCTAGCTCCCCATTCACCCGTCCCTCCTTCAGCTCCTCTTTCCCAGTCTGTCTATGTCTCTCTGCCTCCTTCGTGACAGGTTTCCTTAAACAGAGGAACACACATATGCCCCATGTATTCAGATATATCACATACAATTTAGGTTTGCAGTTGAGTGCCCATGTGGGAAAGGGAGGGTGAATAAAGCAGAAAAAGGCCAGCCTCAGAGGTTCTGATCTGCATCTTTTAGACAGATATTTGGAGAGACAGAAATTCATATGGTCCTGCTCCTATCTTTCCATTAAGACGCAGATTTGTAGAACCATAGCTGTAGCTGCAGGGGCCCAACCCGGGGTCAGACAGGCCCACATCAACGTAACTGGCTATGGGGATCGCCCGTCTCCATGGAGATTCTCCGAAGCCAGTCTCTTAGGTAGTACCTGCCATTCTGAACCACGGGTGCCAAGCAGGATTCCCTCAGCCAGCCTTTCTCCTAAGAGGCTGCCCCTAACGACAATGTCCCTGATGGAAGAGGCCTAAGCAGCCATGTTTATGCCCCAGGATCTGCCCCAACACATGATTGGCCCAGGGATGGACACCTGACCCAACGTGAGCCAATCAGGTTCTTTCTCTCAAGAACTTGAACCAAGAGCCAGGCCTTGTGAAGGTTAGATCAGTGGTTCTCAAACATGTGAGCAAAGCATGTATTAAAATGACCTGGAGAGCTTGAGGAAACACAGATTGCTGGGCCTCATCTCCAGAATTTCTGATTCGGCAGGTCTGGGATGGGACCACAAAATGTGCATTTCTAACAGGTTCCCAGGTGCTGCTGCTGCTCCTGCTCCAGGGACCACACTTTGAGAAGAACTGAGTTAAATGGCATTGATCCCAGAAGTGATCGGGTCATGAAAACTGGGGCTCATATGCCACTACAGCAACTCCTTGGCTGGCTGAGGTGGGTGGGCAGGGGCACTGCTGGCTGGTCTGCAGAGAGCTGCAGGAAGACACCGTGGCCCCAGAGACAGAGAAAGCTGAGCAGCACGCAAGGCTCAGCGAGGCCTCCTTGTGAGGTTTCCCCTCTTGGCAATCATATACCCCTTGTTTGAAGAAAATTTTAAGAAAGTTGAAACCAAGCATCTGAAAGGTACCTGAGGACGAGTGTGCTGGTTCAGCATGGTGAGCTGCACGTACGTCTGCAGTGTGAGGCCCCATCGACAGGCGTCACGGTACATGAGACCCTGCAGAAGGGAGAATACAGCAATTTACCTAAAAGTGCTCCATCTGTAGGACACTGGTCTCTTTGGTCACTGATAGCCATCCATAAAACCTATATGGGGCTGAGCTGGGGCCAGAGATGAACCCAACATGGTCACAGGGCCCTCAGAACAGAGTGGACAGAGACAGACACTGGAACAATTACAGGACAGCCCAGTAACAGCTGTAAGGAGCCTATATAAAGTCCCCAGGGAACACTCATTCAGTCACTCAGTAAACGTTCATTGAGGGCCCTGCAGTCTTTTCTCTATTCAGCAGCCAAAGTGAGCCTGTCCAGCCTAAATCAGTTCTTGTCACTCCCCTGCTCAGAAACTTCCAGTGGCTTCCCAGTGCATTCAGAATGAAAGCCAAAGCCCTTACCAAGGCCCACAGGGCCCTAGAGAATCACTGCCATCGTCTCTATCTCCTACCATTCTTCCTCCGGCTCAGGGAGCTTCTGGCCATGTGAGCCTCCTTAGTGTCCCGCCTCAACCCGAGCCCGACCCCATCTCAGGGCCTTCATTTTGCTGCGCCTTCTCTCTGAACGCTGTCCCTCCAGATACCTGCATTGCTCCCTCCCTCACTTCGGTTAGGTCTCTGCTCCAGTGTCACCTTCTCGGAGATGCCCCCCAGCCAGTCTGTCTAAAATAGAAGCCCCACCAGTCCCTCTCTATTGCCTGTAGGTACAAAATACTTCATGCTCCGGATTCCACTTGCTAATAATCTTATTCTGCTCTTTTCCATTTTGCTTTTTTCTCTTGGAAGTAACGAAACCCCAGCGCTCTGTGTTGAAAACTGCAGACTCCTAACTGCGGGTGAAAGATGTCAGAGAGGTCAGGAGAAACACTCCTTCTTGGCTGATGGCTGCAGAAACAACCACCTTTCGGCAAAAGAAACTCGATTCAGATAAAGTGATGAATCCAGACTTTTCACAAAAATATCAGTCCTTCTCTTCTGTCCAGAGTGGAAAGCCATGTAAAAGTATCTAATTCTATTCTTAAGCTGTCATTGTGCCAAGGAGACTCCGACTTCTGAGACTGGGACCGTGCGGGTGAAACGTCACCTCTAACCCTTGACGTCTGCAGCTCCAGTTGTCTCACTTGATAACCCGGCCCTCGTACCTCGCTGGCTCCTAGAGATTATGTTTCTGAGGGTTCTTTATCCCCAAAGACAACGACTGGCATTCCATCTTCTCCCACATGCAGAGACATGAACTCTTTTCATGTCTCTGGGATTCTTTATTCAAAGACTCTGAGAGTCTCTGCCTGATTTAAATGACATCCTTTTACCCGCTTTAGATTTCTTCACAGCTCCTATCACCACCGCCATATCTTACATTGAATTGTCTCCCGCCTCCCCACACTGGAACATTTAGGGCCAGGAGGGCAGGACCTTTGAGTTGCTCACTTCCCCAGCATCTAGAATAGTGTCTGGCACGTGGTAGGCAGGCACTAAACATTGCTTGAATGAATGAATGAACAAGCACCTACTAAGTGCTCGGCAGTGCACTATGTTCTAACAAACAATGGAAAGCCAAACTGGACACAGTCTCTGCCCCTAGTGGAACTCAGAATCTAAAGAACCACACGAGGAGCTGCCAACTGTGTTGCTAGAAATGAGGGGACAGCCCTAGTCCCAGGTTCAAACCTAGATCTGTCATTTACCAGCCGTGTAACCTTGGGAAACTGATTTCAGCTGCAGTTTCCTCCCTGAAAAATGAAACTAATCACGGGAGGGGGGCAGAACCAACATCCCTTTCTTAAGCTCCCTCTTACAGGACCCAGACCCCACCCAGCTGTTTTAAGCAGCCAGAGCAGAGCCTTCTGAACAGGGAAGGAAGTGGAAAGGGCACAGGCTATAGACCCTGCTTGCTAGGTCTACCCTTGGGAAAGGAGGCGGGCAGCTTCACGGGGAGCCAGAGGCAGCCCCTGAACACTGCCAAGTGCAAACTGAAATCAGAGGTTTACCAAGGTTACTTAGAGACAGGTCCTGGGGAACTAGGCCTGAGGAGACCTGGATTCTGAAGGGTTTCTTCCAGGAGAAGTTGGGAGTAGAATGAGCAGCAGGCGATGGAGGGAGGCGAGGATGACCACTTGGGATAGTCTAGGATGGCTGACAGGAGGTCCCTGGGCCCTGCACACGCCCAGCCAGGCCTCAGAGATCTTTGACCTCAGAACACCAACATGCCACTATTTCCCATTTGTCCCCTCCTTCTCCCCATCCATCCCAGTTAAGAGCGAGGAAGATGCCTGGACCGGGGGCAGGCTCGGGCACCAGCACCACCGTTCCCAGGCCCCTAAGGGAAAGCTGCTGGTTCACGCAGGAAACAACACACTTGCCAGAGGATTATGGCCACGGACATTTCTCCACTTGGCCACAGGCTCCATGAACACCTGCAAGGAAAGGAAACATCAGAGAGCTGCTGTTGATCAGGTCTGAGTTGTGTGAAAGCGGGTAAGTGCTGGGGGCTGGGGGTGGAGTCAAGATTTGGGTGCCCAGAGTGAGCCAAAATAGTCGAGCAACCCTCCCTGCAAGGCCACATCTCCATCTAGACGTGGTTTCCTCACGTGACTTCCAGAAATTACCTGAGAACAACTCTGTCCATCCCCCTCTAAAAGTATAGCACATGCCACCTGTCTGGCTGCCTTGGGCACTTCCCGAGGGCAAGGCGGGTTCTCTCACTCCCTCCTCCATGTTCATCCTGGTCCTAATTGCCCACCACCTCGGAGTGAGCAGGGAGGGGAGAGCAGCCAAGAGGGAAGCTACCTCAGGTGCTCCAGGCTGCGGCTAGAAGCTCAGTGTCCCCACTCAGGAGCTCTCCTGAGACCTTGGCAGCTTGCTATGCCTCCATTCCCTTCCCCTGATCTCTGCATTGGGCACAATGACAGCTAAGAGTCACATTTCTTTAGTATGCTCCCTAAACTATGCAAGAGCCTTTATGAGTGCGCAGGCGAGTGCTGGAAAGGACTTAAATGGTATTCTTGGGGCCAAGATTTTGAGAGTACCTGGATCCACTTGGGGACTTTCAAGTGCATATGAGCAGGTGCCATAGGCCACAAGAGACCAAAGGAAAGCAATGCATGGGACTCTTGAAGAGTACCCTCCCCCAACCTTTTACACCTCTGTGCCTTTGCTCATGCTGTTCCTTCTGCCCAGTATGCCCACCTCACCTCATTTCACATCAATTTTCATTACATAGAAGACTCCTACACATCCTTCAAAATTCAGTTTAAATACCCCTTCTTCTGTGAGTCATTCCCTGCCCCTCCTAAGCCCCCTCTCCTTCTTCTGTGTTTTCAGCACTCTGTTCCTGTTCCCTGAATAGTGTATGCTGCACCACTCAGGCCCACCAGCAGCTGGGTCACAGGCAGCCTTGCCCTGTGGCTCCACAGGTGGCACTGTCACTCAACAAATATTTATTGAGCACCCACTGTGCCAGGTGCCATGCCAGGCACCAAGGATACAGCAAGAGCAAAACCACCCTAGCCCTGCCTTCATGGAACTTTAAACTTACTGGGGGAAGCAGACATCAATCAGATCATCACAGAAATCAACATGTATTTTCAAACCCTGAGTGGCAGTATAAAAGAGGGGTACATAGGGGCCAGAAGAACCTAAACCAGGAGGGTCACCTAGTTGGGGAGGTCAGAGAGCATGGAGCTGAGATCTGAAGGCTGAGTGGTCTTCCTAAAGCCGGCAAAGCTTTCATGCTGTAGAAGAACCCAACAAGGGCATGGTCCCTGGAGCCGGACAGCCTGAGCTGGGATTTGGCTCCACCACACACGAGCCATGCGACCCTGGCCAAGCCATTTAACCTCACTGAGACTCAGTTTCCTCATCTGCAGCTGAGGAAATAACAGTACCTACCTCACAGGGATGACTCTTGTAAGGATAAAATCGATTAGATAATGTATAATGAAGCCTCAACATGGTGCCTGTATTATCCTTATTAGATATTAACTGTCGCTGCTGTTACTATTGTTGTCGATCATTGGTCCAGGGTCTTCAGTGAGACCTAAGTGCTTCTAAAGTGCCAGTGAGAGTTACACCACTCAGGGCAGGTGTGTTGGGAGTCAAAAGACACCCCCCTCACCCCAGATTCGATAATTCACTAGCAGGATTCACAGGACACAGCATCGAATCGTACTCATAGCCAAGATTTATTACAGTGAGAAGATTCAAAGCAAAATCAGCAAAGGAAAAGGGCGCATGGAGCCAAGCCTCGGGGAACCAGGCACAAGCTTCCAAGGGGCCTCTCCCAGGGGAATCACACGGGACGCACCCAACTCCCCCAGCAGCTGGTTGTGACAACATGAGTGGAATGCTGACTGCCAGGGAAACTGGCCTGAGCCTGGGAGTTCCGGGTTTTTATCAGGGCTCAGTCATGTGGGCAGCCTCTGCCTGGCACATATGGAAATTCCAGACTGGCAGAAAGAAAGCCGGTGTCCAAAATAAACCATATTGTCTGCACAGTTCAGGCACAGAGAGCTGCTCCTATCGGTTAGGAAATGGTGGGAACTCTCTCCAAATCTAAGTTCCCACACGCCAGCCAAGGGCCAACCTTGCAAACCAGCCTCTCTAAGGACACAGTCTCAGGGCTGCTATGTTAACTCTTTCCTGTACGGCAGGATGTGAACACAAGCAAGACAGGGCTGTGCAATGTCTACTAGTTTTATCAAACCACATATATTTCTAATCGAAATAAAAACAGGAAAGAAAAGAAGGACAGAAAATGACTCTAACGGTATGGAAATTGTAGGATCTGTAGTAACAAAATAGAGCCATAAAAAGAAAAGATGACACCACTAAGATCTAGAACAAGGAAGAAGGGTCTTGGTGAAGAGATAATTCTTAAACATCTGTGAGGTTACTTTTAGTGATTGGATTGTAAATAAACTAGAAATTATGTTAACTGGCCACACATAGTAATACTCCCCTAATATCTCAGATGTAACACTCTAGCCATGCTCAATAGTCTAGACTTCTTTCACATGCAGACTCTTCATCTAACCAGACTGTGGCACTGTTCCACACCCACACTGTCTGACACAGCGACTATGAGCTAACGTGGCTATTACAACCTGACACATGACCAGTTCAAACTGAGATATGCTGTAAGTGTAAAACGCATCCCAGATTTCAAAGACTTAGTATGAAAAACCAAACACAAAATAGCTCATTGATGATTTTTATACTGATTACATGTTGACATGATAATATTTGGAATATATTATGTTAAATAAAATGTTCTTTTTGGGTTTTTAGGGAGTCTATTAGAAATTTTACATTACCTTACACACGTGGCTTACATTTATGGCACGTATTATATTTCTATTGGACAGAGCTGGTCTACACCCTCTGTAAATTAGTCTGCCAAGCTTTTGCAGGTTCCTTCGAACACATACCTCAATGTCTGCTGTGTTGGAGAAGAACTCCAGGCATGTTGTCTTCCCACTTGCAATATTGCCTTCGACACAGATCTGGCAAAACACAAAAGCGTGTCAGAACCAGAAATCAAGCACCTGGGGGAATATCAGGGAAGAATTTCCAGGCAAGGGCTCCAGTGAACGGCATAATTGGTTCAGTCCAAGACTTGGATGTGTACACAAAAACCCCTGCACAGGAAACCTCTAAGGTCCTGTGGTTAGTAATACAAACAGACTGACCCTCCCCATCAGTGGCAGGCTCCAGGCCCACCACCCGTGGCCACCAGATCACGGCCTCCAGAACAGATCCTCACAGTCAACTCCTAGAACATACCCAGCTTGCCCTCGTCCACCCGAGCTCTGCCCTTCCCTAGCTTGGCCCCTCAGACTATTAGATTTAGGTCTAAGTGTCCTGCCTCCTTAACCAGGGCCTAATGGCCTCGAGGTTGGGAAGTATGTGTACGTTATCTAGAACCTCACTGCTTTGTGCAGAAAAACGCGCTTGGCATGGACTAGAAGGTATTAGGACAAGAGAGAAGGACTTGGTTAAGCACCTTGTTGAAGGCCAGGCCTTAAGATGAGTAACATAGACCATGACCGCACTTAACCTCTCTAGAACCTGAGAAGCGGGTCCTAACATTTTCACAGAAGAGAAAAATGAGGCTTGTAGAGAGAACAAAGCAGGAAGCTCGAACCCACACTCTGCTCACAGCAACTGCACTGGGGAGAGGGGAGTCATGGCACTGGTAGGTGGGGCCACAGACAGCCATCAGAGACCAGGGAGCCTCCTACAAGTACCTCATTGTAGGGAAAGCAAGCATTCGAGGCAGTGGTTCTCGGGCCCGGATCAATCAGAATCACCTGAGAGCTTTAAAAAAATCTCTACAAGGCAGCCACAATCCAGACCATTACAATACAATCCCTGAGGGAGGGACTCCGCCTCAGTACCCTGTACAGCTCTCCAGGCGACTCCAGTGTGCAGGAAGGCTGAGCACCACTGTTCTCAGTGTGTGGTCCACAGGCACCCCGCTCCAGAGCACCAGAGAAGCACCCAGACCCTCTGAATCAGACTCTCGGCTGGGGCCCTCAAACTTGCTGGCCAGCGATTCTCACGAGACTCTGCTCAGCCAGGCACTGCTGGTGACACAGGCCAAGTGGCTTTGGCTCCAGCACAGGAGGAAATGGGCAGTTCCACATCCATAAGAAGACAAACTGATCCTTAAGAACACATCTTAGACGTTCCCTGGGGGCACACACAGTCAGAAAAGGACCCGTCCTGCTGCACAGTGACCTTTACACCCAGGCTGGACGCACCCAGAGAAACATGGGCCACTTAGGGGACTTGCCCAAGGCACCAGGCCGGACAGGGGAAAGAGCTGGAATTCACACCTCGGTCTGGGAGACACCTTTGTGTGACTCCAGTGGAGCCTCAGTCACACCCTACATAAAACACGGGGTCACGGTGGGCGGTCTTGCCTTGCCTCCCCGACTATAACTGTCAAGCGGCTGTGGAGGTTTCCTCTGGCCTTGACCCTAACCCGCATCCAGGTGAGCTGGACAATCATGCTTTCCACAGATGCCAGGCCACCCTCCCATGCCGGGTCCCTGCCAGCTCTCTCCTCTAGAACTTGAAACTGCAAAATGAACCAAGGGATCTTGGTTCAATGGGATCTATGCAAAAGGTAGATCCCATTAGGGCACTAATGGATTTGGGTTTTTCTTGCTGTTCTTCCAAGGAAACAACTTTTCCTCTTCCTAGAAAATCAAGAAGAGCTCAAGCTAGACATCATTCTGCAGAGACTTTCTTTCTTTCCTGTTCGCTGCAAGGAACATGTTGTTCAGATGAGACCTTCTTCCAAAAATGCTTGTTCCTGTTCCCACCGAGAAATCCTGAAGAGATGGTAAATCTAAGGCCCTGGATTAGCAAATGGTTTTCCCAAGAGAGCAGACAAAGTATGAAGAATCTTGCAAAATTCCCCTGCCATGGAGGTACAAAGAAGAGCCAAGCAAAGGAAGTCTTTAAATATTTTTAAAAAGTGACATCTGAAAATATTAGAAGAGTGTGTGCCCACTGAAGAAAAGAGAGAAAACCATAAAGTAGAAAATACCGCCCATAATCCACTAGTAAAAGATAAACATCATTACATTTCAGCATATCTCGGGCAAGCATTATTTTCTACAACGTTTCACATCTTTGAGAGTCTTTCAACTGCTCGTGGAAGGCCTCCGATGTGCCTGGCACTGTGTACTCAGGAGTCAGTCCCAGCACCCGCAGAGCTCACAGTGAGTGTGAAGACGCAGAGGAAAGTAACAGAAAATTATGAAAAAAGATGTTCACCATGCTGTGGGCACACATGGCCAGCCAGGCCCAATGCTCTGCCAAAGTTTACCTCCACTCTCCTCGGCTATTAGCCTTGGTTCCAACTTCCCATGATTAAAACTAACACTGCGATGCGCCACGTAGCCTTATTTTTAAATAACATTTAATCTTTTCTGAAAATAGAAGTTAAGCATTCTCACAGTAGGAAATAGAAAAGAAAAGAAAAATCACTGATAATTCCAGAGATAACTACCATTTAGATGTTTAATCAGAACCGAGCTTTCCAGAGGAAAACAGGTTCAGGCTCCAAAGGCCCCACCAGAAGAACCGAAATATATATTGTCTTCTTAAAGACCCTAAGAAATCTGCAGTAAAGGGGCTGGCCCCATGGCCGAGTGGCTAAGTTCGTGTGCTCCACTGCAGGCGGCCCAGGGTTTCGTTGGTTCGAAACCTGGGCGCGGACATGGCACTGCTCATCAAACCACGCTGAGGCAGCGTCCCACATGCCACAACTAGAAGGACCCCCAACGAAGAATATACAACCATGTACGGGGGGGACTTTGGGGAGAAAAAGGAAAAAAATAAAATCTTTAAAAAAAAAAAAAAAAAGGAACCCAGTTAAGTTCATTTAACATCCAAACAACTAAGGAAGGGAGCACCCCTCACACCCCAAATTCTCTCTCCCTCTCTCTCATACACACCCACTGTTAACACTCTCCAACTTCCCCTTAACCAGACTGACAATTTCTGTATCATTAACAGTTTGTAATGTTTCTTTCCTGTTTTTTTTTCCTGTGGATGGTTTATATATTATCTCATTTAGATCACACTTCATATATTTTTATCCTTTTTTCCCATCTTTCGTAGTGAGTACCTTCCCAGGTCATTAAATATTTTTCATAAACATGAATTTTAAATGGCTGAATAATATTCCTCATATAAGATATACCATGGCCTCTGGGGAGGGAGTCTGAGGCCGAGGGGTAGAGACAGACTTCCCTGTCCCCAGAGACTCTCTTGTATTTCTGTTTTTTACTATGTCACATGTTCCTTCACTCCCCTACTTGAAATATATATACATACATATATACAAACATCTCTCTCTCTCTCCATATAATATTATCCTACACTGGAGAGTGCACATAAAAGAGGGACTTACCACTGATTTTTTCTCTTTGTCATTTTCTCTATCTTTATCTACAAAAGAAAGGAAATCAATTTTTTAAACTCAGTTTTAAACGATTCACTCTTCTTTGTCCTAATTGGCTAAACCAACACAAAAACTAATTTCTATGCTTGCTCCCTGGCCTGAAAATGTTTTCCAAGGACACCTGGTACCCTCCATGGGTGGATGGAGTCAGCCCGACCACTGCTGGCTACCTGTGTGTGACAGCCTGCAACTGTCGCCTGGGTCCTGTTGGCCCGTCTGGGCCCCAACTGTGGTCAGCTTTTTTCACTTAGCGTATTACTCTTTCCATTTCCTACACACTTTATATCCATGATCTTCACAGATGGGCGTCCAGCAAGTTAAAATGCAGAGCGGCCTCCCCTCGAAGAGCATGGGTGCGAGTGAGCAGTGGGCAAGGGTTTCAGCCCAGGACTCAGGTTTCTTCGCTAGGCCCGAGGCTGACATCCAGGCCCACCCACGCCATGGAGGTGCCACCGAACAGCCGGAGGCCTAAGAACGCCAGACCTTGGCTATAACGGTGCTCCCATTTCTGCATGGGGGTCTCCACTCCCAATGGGAGAGGGAGGGCACCGAGCTTAACCCACCCACCACTCGCAGGCACCAGCGTGCACTGGGGGCTGGTTAACCGCAGCTCTCAACCCCCGTCTCCCCCAAAGCCGAAAGAATCGGACGGAGGTGGGGGGAGGTCCTCTCTACTCTTTAAGAGGACTCCCCAGCTCCCACCAGGAGGGGGAGCCGGACCCCACGGCCCCACCCGCTCGCTGCTGGCTCGCGTCTAGGGTAACGGCCAGTGAACGCCACCCCTCCCCCCACCCCCACACCCCCCGGCCCCGGCGCCTCCGAGAAAGGGTTTCGGGTTCAGGCCGGTCCGGCGAGCCAGCGGGTGGACCCGAGAGAGGCGTTACCCCGAGGCCAGGCCCAGCGCTGCGCCCCCCGCGGCCCCGGCCCCGAGGCGAGGCTGGCGGGCCCCTCCCGGCGCAGCGCCCGGGCGGCGCAGCTCAGCAGCGGTCGCAGCAGCATGGCCGGCCCGGCGGCTGGGCTGGCGGCTGGGCTGCCGAGCCGCAGTCTCCGCGATCAGCGCGGGGGCCAGCCTCCTCTCGCCGCCTCCATCCTGCCGCGGGCCGCCGGAACAAGGCTCTTAAAGGGCCCCCGTCGTATTTCACCCTCTCTCCCGGAATGAAAATAATGCAAGGGGAGTGGTCCGCCGGGTGCAGCCAGCAAATCTCCCCGCTAACCGGATGTTGGCAGAACGAAGCCGTAACTTGGCAAGACTCCAAGGATGGATGGTTAATAACGCTAGCGACTGATTGGTTAATTATTGGAGATTACTTAACTGGGCACGCGTTCTATCCAGGCACCTGGCCCACACTCACAGCGTCATTTATTTTTCCCAACAACCCTGCAAGTGGATGTTGTCACTCCCATTTTCAGAGCTGAGCTGATCCTCGGAAACTTAGGAAACTGGTTAAAAATGATCAGAAGCATTCATTAAGGAGTGGAGCTGGAATTCATGCCCATCCAGCTTAGTTCACAGACTAGCTCTTTCCTCTGAACTTTGATATTTCTAGGGTCTGGACTGTAAACGTACTAGATCCCTCAGGAAGGTGTTAAAAAACAAGACAACAGACCCAAAATGGAGTCACTTATGCTAAGCCCCACATCACCAAACCAAGACTTAATTTATAGTTTGACTCTCCCAGAAACGGAATCTTTAAAAAGTCTATCAGAATCGCCTGATCAGCACTACTTAGGTAATCTACGGATAGACCCCAGCTATCCCCTAAAGAAAGTAACCTTGCAATAACCAACCAGCTTTTTTGCCTAGTATAACTTCCTTGTTCCTGCTCCCTTCTGCCTACGCATCTTTGATTTTGTACAGCTCCTCGGAGCTCTTTCTATCTGCTAGATTGGATGCTGCCAAATTCAAATTGATTTTTGCTCAAATAAACTCTTAAAATTTTTTTTTAGAGGAAGATTAGCTCTGAGCTAACTACTGCCCATCCTCCTCTTTTTGCTAAGGAAGACTGGCCCTGAGCTAACATCCGTGCCCATCTTCCTCTACTTTATATGTGGGATGCCGGCCAAAGCATGGCGTGCCAAGCGGTACCATGTCCGCACCCGGGATCAGAACTGGCAAACCCCGGGCTGCCGAAGCCGAACGTGTGCACTTAACCGCTGCGCCACCAGGCCGGCCCCTCTTAAAATTTTTAATATGCCTCAATTTATCTTTTAACAAAGGTACAACCAGTATTCCAACTGAACAGACACCAAGAGGGTGGGTAGGAAGCCTGTAAATCCCATCCATAGCCAGGTAGCAAAAATCCAGCCCAGGTGTTAGGTCGATGGGGCATAATTCAACAGGCCCAGGCCCTGGAAGCTAAGCTGTTGCAGTAAGGAGCGGTGACTGTGTGTGTGTGCATGCCCACTCCGGGTGCCTGGGTGGAGGGGTACCCCACCTCTCTCAGGAGATGCTAGCAGTCACCTCTTGGGCAGGGAGAAGAAGGAAGTCATTTGTGAGAGGGTTCACTCAGCTTCTAGATCTCGTACCGGAAAGCCCAAACCCCATCTTGTGCTTCCTCTAACATCTGCCACAGACCTAGCACAGAGCAATGTGCCCTCCGTAAACAAACTTCAGGATTAAGTTTAAGGTTTTTGGGAGTGACTTGGGATGAGGCTGTTGGAGGTACCTGCTGATCAGATTTGACTGAATGAAATGGACTGAAGCTGAGCTGGGCAGGATCCAAAGAGGTCTGAGAGGACGGGGGAGATGGCCAAATTATCCAAGAAGGACTTGAAGTCACGTAAAAGGAGCCACACCTGCTCGGCATCCTTAAAAAGAAAGGCTCCAAGGTGGTGGAGCTATGGCTCCATAGGAGCATTTGTGAAAAACTCAGATTGAATTAAGGATCTGAATCGCTGCAGGCTGTTCTACGAAGGACCAGAGAGAGGCAAAAATAAAAATATGCAGAACAGGCTCACAAACCCAGACTGTGATCCCCTGGAAGCAAGGGTAGGGGATGAGGGCCTGGCCATTAGTTCAGATCATACATTTTCTACATCTTCTATGTGCCAGACCCTGCAGGGAGAGAAGCAGATAGGCTTGTGCTATTTAAATTCCTAAGATATATACATATATATGAGCTAGTGATAAATGCTACGAGGAGAGAGTGATGGTGGCTACTCTAGACGGAGCGACCAAGGGAAATCCTCTCGAAGGAGGTGGCATTTGAGATGCCCAGAGTCTGGGGCGGCAGGGCAGCCGTTCCAGGACCCTCCGGGAGGCTTCCCGACAGGAATGCGCCTGAGGAGAGCTGGAGAGCAGTTGCCATTGGTGCCTGGCAGGGCGGGCGGTGCTAACAGGGGGCTGGCCTGCGAGACTCCCCTCTAGGTCAGTGGAAACTCAGCGCGCGAACCGTAGCAGCCTAGCCTACCGAACAGGACTCGCTCGCGGGCGGCTCCGGCGGGGCGCATGCGCACGCGCACGTGTGCGGGCCGTGGTGACGTGCGTATGCGCGCGCGAGGGCGGGAAGCCGAGACAGCAGGCGCGCGGCTGCGGCGGCGGCGGTTGTAGTCGCCGCACGAGGCCGGGCGGAGGCGGGTGCTGAGGAGGGGGGCTGAAGGAGGAGTGGGTGCTGCTGGGTGTCCAGCGCGATGCAGCCCGTGAAGCTGAAATCGAAGCATCGCTCTTTCTGCTTCAGCGTGAAAGGCCACGTGAAGATGCTGAGGCTGGTGAGGGCCGGGCCGGGTGGGGCCGGGGCCCCAGCGCGCTCGGGGCGGTGAGAGAGGGCTGTGAGGGATGAACGGGACGCCCTGCCTGCTCTTCCCGCCTCGTTGTCATTAGCGGCAAGGCATTCTGCTGTGCACCCTGGGGGTGAAAGGAGAGAAATAAGGCCCCGTGCGCCCCTGCAGGGGGTTCACGGACACACTCAGAAAACAAAATCCTCTCTATCCGTCATATGTATATGAATCGTACCTATATGAATGGCCACGCCGGGACCCACAACCAGGTGCCCAGGTCACCAGGTGAGGTAGCCGCAGGTGTACCACTCAGAAGCCAACAAGATGAAGACTAAGGGGTGGATGCTGTGTTCCCTTACTCTAAGCAGTCTGATGTGACCGAGCTCCAGGCGGGTACAGTCCAGAGCAGGGACGAGGGAACTGCCCGTTTCTGGACGTCCGGCGCCCCAGGAGCACTGCAGTCAGTTCTGAACAGAGGTTTGGAGAGAATGAATCCTCATCTGGAGGAAGGTGCCCTGGCTGGTTAGAGAAGTGGAAACTATCAGGAGAATGTGTTGAAAGAATTCGAGAAGAGAAAAGAGGAAGGAAAACACAATTTTTTAAGTTTTAAAGTGATGACACGTAGGAGAGGGGGTGGAAATAGTTCAAAGTTACAGGGAAACAGTTCTGCTTAATACGGGGAAGAATTTTATATTGGGAAAGTTCATAAAATTCAGTGGCCACTTGGAAAGGCAGTACATTCCCAGACAGCAAAGGTAACAGGCAAAGATGAGCCTGTTAGTGAGGATGTTGTAGAGGAGATTCAGACTTCAAGCTGCATACAAGGTCCTTCCCACACCAAAAGTCTGTGATTCTGAGAAATAACTACAGCAGAATACAAGTCAGAATGCATAAGAGAGGTCTAGAAAACTACTCTGGAGTTCAAAGGTTGGAAAGATTACGCTGAGTTGGGAGTAAATAATCAGGGAAGAAGGGTGCTGAGGTTTTATGCCAGGTACTGAAAGCTCTGGAACACTGGAGGAAGAATAGCATTTTGTGAGAAAGGTTTAGTTTTTGACATATTAATTCCCTCAACACACATTTTGAGTATTTCGTGTATTTCAAGATCTGAGTTAGGACCTGGAACAACAAAGACAACCAAGACAAAATTCCTTGACTCATGGGAGTTCTTCGGTTTAGTCAGGAGACAGACACATGAGCAGATAGCTCTAATATGTGATAAGAGGGAGATAGGGCACAGAGTGAGACATCCGACTGAGGACGAGATAAAGGTGTCGGGAAACTTCCTAGAGGAACCTGCATTGGAGTCTATGGGACAGCCACCTGAGCCAAAGCATGGAGGCAAAAAAACCAGCATGATTTATGCAGCAAACTATAAGAGGTTGAGTGTTACCTTATTTTTTTCATTCAACAATATTTATTGAAGGGCTGCCATGTGCCAGGTACTGTTCCGGGCACTTGGTGAACAAAACAAAGAGCCCTGCCTCATGAAGTTTCCGTATTGGGGTGAGAGGGAAGGGGAGACAAACAATAAACACGATAAATAAATAAATGATGTAGTATTCTAGAAGGTGGTAAGTGCTATGGAACAGAGAAAAGTAAAGCCAGGTAAGGGAGTATAGGGGAGGAAGGGTTGGAAAAGAGGGTTGCAGGTTTCGGTAACAGAGTGGTCACGTTAGGCTCTGTTGAGATGACATCTGAGCAGAGTTGAGAGAGGTGAGGCAGTTAGCTATGAAAATATGTGAAGGAAGAGTGTTTAAGGCAAAGAAAAATCCAGCACAATGGCCCTATGGCAGGAATGTACCTGAAGGGTTCAAGAAAGAGCAAGGAAACCAGTGTAGCTGGAGAGTAGTGACTGGAGGACACAGTGGGAGGTGAGGAAGATTTTGAGTAAAGTTATATATGATCTGACTAACATTAAAAAAAGTACACCAGCCGCTATGTTGACAATAGATGGGGGTGTGAGAGCGGGCTGGGACAGGAAGAGATCCCTGCAGGGGCAACGGTAGAACCAAGGAGGCCAATTAGAGCTATTGCCGTAATCTGGGCAAGAGATGATAGTGACTCAGACCAGGGTGTTAGCAGAGTAGGTTACAAGACATTTGAGATATATTTTGAAAGTAACTCCAATGAGATTTGCTGATGAACCAGATGTGGTATGAGAAAAAAAAGGAGTTCAAAATAACTCCAAAGTTTTTGGCCTAAGCAACTGGAAGGATGCAGTTACCATCTACTGAAAGCCTGTGGGTGAAGCAAATGTAGGCCAAGGATCATTAAGTTCAATTTTGGATTTCATTGTTAGATTAGAGATGTCTATTAGACATCCAAGTAGCAATATTGAATAGGCACTTGGAATATAGAAGACTAGATTTTGGGAGGGAGATTGGCGCTTCAGAAATTAAGATATTTAAAGTCATAAGACTGATGAGATCATCAAGAGATGAGTGTAGACAGAGCAGAGTACAATAGATTGAGCCCTCAAACACTTCAACATTAAAAGGTTGGCGAGGGGAGGAAAAACCTGCAAAGAAGAGTGAGAGGGAGCAATTAGGAAGGTAGGAGAAACCAAGCATATGGTGTCCTAGAAGCCAGGTGAAGAAACTCTTGAGAGAATGATCAGCTGTGTCAAATACTGATGACAGTTCAAGTAAGATGAGGACTGAGAATCAAGTATCGGAATTATCCTGTGGATAAATTGTCAAGCAACTCTTTGCTAGAGAAGTGGACAGGAGCTGAGTCATGGGAGACTGTGACTACCATGGTGAGAGGTAGGCTCTATTCTAAAGACCGTGGGGAGCCATCGAAGGGTTTTAAGTAGGTGGAGAAATGCATAAACAAATTTGCATTTTAGAAATTTTACTGTAGTATCTTTGTCATGGTAGTTTAGGGAAAAGACACTGAAGGGCAGTAGTTGTAGGGATGAAGAAGAGGGAGTGGATTCCCAAAATGTTTAGGCATTAAGTCAGCAAGACCTGATGATTGATCATTTGTGGGGAGTGAGGAGCAGCTGTCCTCTCGGTTTCTAGGGTGGGTGATAAGGTAGATGGTGGTATCACCAATTAAGATAGTGAATACAGGAAGAAGGGGCAAGATGAGTTCAGTTTGGGGCGTGATGAATTTGAAATTCTTGTAGGTTATTCAGATAAAGATTCTAAATGATTATGTGTGAGATGTTGAGGAAGGGACCTGGGATAGAGACCCAGATTCATTGAGTGGATTGTGAACAGAATCCAGAGGAATGCCAGCATTTTAAAGGGATGGACAAAAGGAGAGAAGCCCACCAAGAGAGAACAGTTGCAGAGGTATAAGAACAAGGAAAGGTGACATGGGAGCCAAAGGAGTAGAAAGGTAGGAAAAGGATAGCCAATGGCAAATGAGTCATGGGTTCCAGTAAGATAAGGGTTGAAAAGTGTTCATTAAATTTAGTCATTCTGAAATCGTTGATGATCTTAGCAAAAGCAGTTTCTATAGAGTCGTGAAGAAATGCTTGAGATATCAGTGGGATATTTGAAAGAGAACTGGAAACAAAGGCCAGAAGTTAGGAAAGATACAAGAGCTGTACATATGGGTTGGAGTAGAACCTAGTGTGACAAAATCATGGGAACTTTTAAGAAAATGGATTAATCACTAATGCCAAATTCCATGGTGTGGAAAGGTTGTGGAGGATGAGGACTGAAAAAGTGACCCTTGATTTCATAATCCATGAACTCAAGACCTTGGGTCAGTAGAGTAAATGAAGTGGTTTGAGATGACATGTTGCAAATAGTAATTATAAAGAAGGAGTTATTTAGTAATAGTTATATTTACTATGTAATCGAGCTGACCAATTTAGAAGTTTGAAGGTAGGCTATTTTTACACTAATAAAGTAATTACAAGAATTACTAATAAGTAGCCTGTATAGATTCAAGCTTAAAAAGAGTACGTAGATGCTACCAGCTGACAGACTGATCGTAAAAGTTTAGCCAGGGAAAGCTCTTGACAAAACTGCTTTCCAAGAACACAGACTTTGGATAGAGCTGTGTCTCCTGAGAACATCATGACATTGAAAAACTCTCTAGGACCTGCCAGCTTATTTCTTCGTTTAAGTCACGTAACATTTTGATGTTCTATGGCTTCATTTGGAAATGAGGAAATTGATTAATTATCTTCAGGGGTTTTTTTCCACTTAAAATATTCGTCAATTCTGATTGCATTGTATTTAAGTAAGAGGAAGTGTGTAAAAAGTGAAGCATCAGAATTGTTGGGGGGTTTTTCCCCCTTTTTTCCCCATAGAGTTCTTCAGAGAATTGTTTTTCTCTGACAATTTATTAAAAACTTTCCTCCCCAGTATTTTTCATGGGAACATTTTAAGTTTAAATTTGACAGTAGATTCCAGATTGTTAAGAGTTAAGGAGTGATGAGTAGATGATAAGTATAACAGCCAGTATATAGACTTTTTTGAGAAACATTACAGGGGGAAGTAGAAAATGGGAGTTTCTGTGGGGAACAAGACAAAAGGAAGGTGTGTGTGTTTGTATTTTAAGAGAAGACAACTTAGATATGTTTGTAGGATGATGAGGAAAGGAGCTAGTGGAGGAGGAGAGATTGAAGGTACAAGAGGGAAAAGGAGATATTTAGTGGAAAAAGATGAAGGGAACAAATGTGGGAAGTGATGGTATTAGATGTACAATTGGAATAATTAGATTGAAAACAGAGAGGGACACCTAGTTCTCTAAAACACAGAGAGAAGTCAACATCCATACATTTTAGGCCTGCCTCTTTTAGATGTGCGTGTATATGGCAGAAACCCATTTAGTTATTTTACAAATGATCATTTTTACAGCTTAAACTTGTATTCAATAATCATTGAATAAATCATGTTTCTTTTTCTTATAGGCACTAACTGTGACATCTATGACCTTTTTTATCCTTGCACAAGCCCCTGAGCCATACATTGTTATCACTGGATTTGAAGTCACCGTTATTTTCTTTTTCATAATTTTATATATGCTCAGACTTGATCGAGTAATTGACTGTTTATTTTGGCCTTTGCTTGTAAGTGTTCAGTTTCATTGTTAAAATTAACTACTTTTTCCTGCCATAGTGAGACATTTTAATAAACTCTATTCTTTAAGTTTTCTTAAGCCTTTAAGGAATCTCTCATAGGCTTAGGAGAGAGGGACTCTACCCACTGCTAATGTGCTCTGTATTGTCCCTGGGGGAGATTCGCAGGGAACCAGGGCAGCCACAGAGCATAAATTCTCCTCCAAGCTTCATCTATCAGTAGATGTGGCTGACCCTTCTGTTAGGAGAATTCACTTAAGTGTAGATCGTCTAAAGAAATTTAAATTTAAGATCATGGTTAATAAAATTATAGAACATTCTTAATATTTACTTCCCTTTTGAATGCATGTTGATATGGCCTCAAACTTGGGGGATGTATACAGGTACACAAGTATCTACATCTTGCAAATCCCAGATCACTAAATGGAAAATCAAATTAATTTGAGAGGCTGAATAAAGCAGAATGTTATCTTACTTAAACATGTCTGTAATCGTTAATGCCAAATAATTTTTATCTCATCTTGTAGAACCTTATTTAGTAGCATATGGAGTTCAGCTGCCATACTCATAGCTTTAGGAGTAACTGCCCAGTGGAGTGCCCAAATGGTTCTAGAAACTGTCAAATTAGGCAAGTTAGGGGCCAGCCCTGTGGCACAGTGGTTAAGTTCACATGCTCTGCTTTGGCAGCCAGGGTTCGCTGGTTCAGATCCTGGGCACAGACCTATGCACTGCTCGTCAAGCTGTGCTGTGGTGGCATCCCACGTAGAGGAACTAGAATGACTTACAACTAGGATACACAACTGTGTACTGGGGCTTTGGGGAGAAAAGAAAAAAAAAAGGAAGATTGGCAACAGATGTTAGCTCAGGGCCAATCTTCCTTAAAAAATAAATAAATAAAATAGCAAAACAAAAGAAGTTGAGTTGAAGATATTAGTTAAGGTGTACATAGCCCTTCAGCCTAGACTGTAAGCTGGCTGTAGGAAAAACTGAGTGGCTTCATCTCTCTGTCCTCTTTCAAGTCTTATCCTCAGCATCCTATCTCCTTGGTCTCCCTCCTAAGATTCCCTGCTGACCTTCCCCGCTCTGGCTGGACTGGTAGCTGCATTTGCTTCTGCTGCTGCACTTGTCTCATCCTCTTGGATTCCATGGTGCCAACATCCAAACTGATATCCCCTATTAAGGAGAGAAGACTTTCAAGCTATTCTCAAACCATAAGCATGCCTTAAAGTGGTAGCTTCTAGAACCACCTTTGAAGGCCAGTGATGAGCATTTTAGGCTAATCACAAGCTGAGAAAGTCCCAAGAGGGAAAAGGTGGAAAATGATAGGATTTTCATAGCACCTCTCTAAACTTCTACTTGAGCTACAGTTTAGAGCTGGACCTGACTGGAGGGAGGTCTAGGAAAAAAGATGACAAAGCCTTCCTCAGTCGGTCCTCAAGAGTACATAGCATCATTTATTAGCCAAGAGGGCTAAGTGAAATTATTCCAAGGATTTCTTCAAGGAGATGATGAATATGGTCCACATCCTCTTAATCTTGTACTCAAAAGGTTATATAGTTGCTCTTCACACTCTGCTTTTCAGGGTTAATAAAACCAACACATTTTAGCATTTATTTTTCTCCAAACTGTAATAATTCTCTGTGGCTTCTTACACGTCCCAGTAATAAACTTGGAGCCCTAAGTTTAACAAAAGACACTCAGAGGAAAAGTGGCCTATGTGTAGCCTACTGAAAGTAGTCTCCAAATTTCTGAAGATCAAACTTTGCTGATATTGTAAGCTTTCAGAAATGGTGCTATATGGTCAACTAAGCTGTTACTCCATTATGAAACCCAGATTCCTCTCTGCTCTTGATCTAATGAAATCATTTATTCAACAAATGCTGAGTATCTGCTAATCCCAGATTCTGTAATGGGTTCTTTGATAAGACAAAAAAATAAAAAATAAAAGCACCTGAGAGACTTTCACTGTAGCCAGGAAGCAAGAAAGATGAGCAATTCAGTGTAATAGGTGCTATGAAAGATGTCTACCCAGGATAGCGTGGAGGCAACCAGCCAGGGAAAGGGACCAAATCGTAATAGGCTTTCCTGAAGAAAACTATGCCTGAGCCTAGGGCTGAAGGATGAAAAGTATCTAGCAGACTGATATGGGGATGAGAGGGCTTCCTGGTAGAGGGAGCAGTGTATGTGAGGATCTAGGAGGAGAAAGAGCATGACCCTCAAGCCCTGCAGCTAGTTCTGAATGGCTGGGATATTGAGTTGTGAAGAAGAGAGGGGGCAAGAGTGGAGGCTTGAGAGGCAATAGGAAGTCAGAGCGTGCAAGGCTTTTTTTGAATGCCTTGGTTTTAGTATAAAGGCCACTGAAAGCTTTTGGAGGTTTTTAAGTAAGAAGATGACATGATCAGCTTACATTTTAGGAGATCCCTGGTGGCAGTGTCAATAATGGCTTGAAGAGGAACAAAACTAGAGGTAGGTCTCAAGAGACCACTTAAAAGTCTGTTAGCATAATCCAGGCATGAAAATGATAAAGGCCTGATCTAAGGTTATAACAGTAGCTGGAGAGGGGGTGTTAATGAGGCAGAATTGATAGGACTGGGTAACTAAGGATAATCAAGGATACTGCTATTTCAATAACTATCTTATTGAAAGGATAATAAGATAGGAAGTATGGGAGGAAGAATAGGTTTCAGGAAGGGCCAGGGAGAGTGGTATGTAATGAGCTCAGTTTGGGAAATACTAGGTTTAAGTTGTACCTCTTAAAGCCATAGTTCAGAATGAAACGCTTCATTTCAAGAAATTATTAAATGAATGAGCTACATCATCAAGAAATAGCATAATTGGCTAGCCTTTGCATACAGATGTATGGGAGTTTTTTTCCTGAAAATTACTACTTCCTCCTAAGTGTGAGCTGCTTTAAGTCTTATTAATTCATTTTAGTAACATTATAAAGTTGTTATATTTACAGTGTAGACTACTCCACACTTTCTTGTATTATTAAAATTGAGCGTTCTGACTTCCCAGTGTACCATTCTGCCTTAAATGTTCTGCATAATACATCATCTACTCCTAACCAGATGAGTTCTCCCTCCAACTACATTTAAGGAAGAAAGAAGCCTGTTAAGTAGTTAAATGATTCATGTATCATAGGTTAAGAGAACTACTAGGCATCACTGTGGACCAAATACAATATAGGTGTCATTTTACTGTAGCAGTTTGATTTCCTAAAAGATAAGCACTAAATAAATTTGTTTAAGGAACTTTCAAAATCTTTAGGGAGCTGATTCATTTTTTTGGTGATCTTCCTGTAAAACTGACCTTTCTATTCTGTGTTTTCAGGATATTATCAACTCACTGGTAACAGCAGTATTCATGATAGTCATATCTGTGTTGGCACTGATGCCAGAAACTACAACATTTACAGTCCTTGGAGGGGTAAGTGGAGGTCTTTCTGGTTCCTTCCTTTAGGTTTGAGTTCAAATTTACTTGAAAAATAGATACAAGAACAGAAAACTCTATTCATCCTTGGGGCTCCTAGACCAGTATACAGTACCTAGTAGCTTAAGACTTTTTTGTGTGAATACATGCCCTGATTAATGTGAAGGAATATGATTTCAGACTAAAATTGAAGTTAAATAAATAAAAAGATTCCTACATATTTCTCATAGGTATGTAGGGCTAGACCAGACTGAGAAAAGCTGCTGGAATCAGTTACAACACTTAGCTCTGAGAAACCTGATGTCAAGCTAAAAACCCACTGATGAGTCTAATAGCTCTCCCTTTAAAAGAAAAGGACACATGCCTTTGTTAAGATGAGACAGACTGTCCTGAGCTCAATTATTTCTTGTCCAGATCCTTCTTTACTTGGAATATAATAGATGTCTGATGATAAGGGAATGGTGGTAGGAAGCCTTGTAACTAAAGGATTATTTTGAACACTGTTTGAATAGAAGCAAATCAGTTTAATCAGACTTTATCCTGGAAGGCAAGCCAAAATAAAAAAGAGTCAAGTAATTTAGTTATAGTTCCATCTGATATTTTTCTGAGATTTCTTATAGGAGGTTCAGCATTTGGCTTTTCTAGGTTCTGATCTAGAGAAGTGAACTAGAAAGTTCTTAAATCAATCTCTCTCCTACTTTCCTGTCTTTTCATAGTATGGGCCACTTAGGAGAAATGACCACTATCAGACAACCACTTATGTCAGAATCCATGGTTTTTCGTCTCCCTTATGAGGCCTTAAGCAACTTCATGAGGCATGGGAATTTTTCTAGAAATGAGATAGCACTGTAACAGCAATTTCCCCCAGTTGTCTTTAAAGAGAATCTTATCCCTCTACTATGGAGAAAGAGGGACCAGGCATAGGATTTACTTTCACTCACTTATTTACTCATTCATTCATTGATTCATTCTTTTAATGCACATTAGTAGGTGCTGACAAAGTATAGAGCTGTGCTGTCCAGTGCAGTAGCCACCAGCCACATGTGGCTACTGAGTACTGGAAATGTGGCTAGTCTGAATTGAGATGAGCTGTATGTGTAAAATACACACTGGATCTCAAAGACTTACTACCAAAAAAAGAAAAATGTAGAATATCTAATTAGTAACTTTATTATACTGATGACATGTTAAAATGATAATATTTTGGATATATCAGGCTAAATAAAAAAAATTATTAAAATTTCACTTGTTTTTTCTTTACTTTTTAATGTGGCTATTAGAAAATTTTAAATCAATTATGTGGCTTACATTGATAACAGATTATATTTCTTTTGGACGGCACTGGACTAGAACATGAGACCTATCTTCAAGTTGCTTAGGGCCTAATACAGGAGACAGAAGTGCAAACGGCTGTATTTAAGCTGTTGAGAGAGTACTGCAAGCACAGAAAAGAGGAAGCAACTACCTCTCTCTAGCAGTGAATTGCAGTTTGCTGGAATAAAGGAGAGAAAGTAGGGATGGTTCCAGGTGGAGGAACCAGAAATATGCAGAGTACCAGAGTCATGAAAGGATAGATGGGAGGTCTTCAGTGTGGTCACCTGCACTTGAGATTGAGGGTGGAAAAGGAGCAGGGTCTGGAGCCAGAAAGACAAACTTCCTGGTCGTTGAATGGAGCTAACCAAATAGCATGCAAGGAATGACATCCCCCTTCTCCAGCCCAGGTACCAGCTCTCAGATAGTCATCAGACTACCTAGAGATCATGTTCTACTTTATTCCCTTTACCTCAGTTTTATTCTCCTAAGGCCTACTTAGAATCCCACCCCTTAAATGGATGTAGCCCAGCCTTTGAGAGTTCACTTTGGATAATTTTATCACTTCAATTCTCCAAAGCTTTTATCACAGCCACTATCTCCATGGTTTAATCTTTAGCTGGTGTCAACTTTGACCCTTTCTTCAATAGAGTTTGTAATAGGAAAGTCAAACAGTTGAGTATTGGGGATAGAAATGTTGATTGATAACTAAATGTCGTTAGTAGGGCTTTAAACAGTACATCCAGGAGCAGGTGAAGAAATCCAGACAATCATTTATTTCCGAGCCCACACCACTGCAGTATTATTTCTGCTCACTTATCTTTTCCGTTTCTCTAGGCAGGTATTGGGGAAACCTGGGAATGAGAATAAAATGATCTCTGAAGTCTCTTCCCATTTTAGTGTTAGGTGGCAGGGTAGAGAGCAACCCCAGTACCCTAGCAGGGGAGGAAGCTGGTGGGCAGACCACTTAAAACCCGTGTGAATGACCGCAGTCCAGACGATGGCCACAGCAGTGACACTGTGTCTTTGCTTCCAGATGTTTGGACTCCTGGCGGCAGTGTGCTGTATTGCCGACGGGGCCCTTATTTACCGGAAGCTTCTATTCAATCCAAGTGGTCCTTATCAGAAAACTGCTGTTCATGACAAACTATAAGTTTTGTAATTTTATATTCCTTTTTAGTTGATGCTAAATATTAAACATGTGTTTATTCTTCCATGTGTTTTCTACGGTTGTTCTCATTTTATCTCAGTATGGGAGCTGGAGGAAGAGACGTAGGCACCCTGCACCCAGAGCTTACCCTAACCCTAACTTCTAAGAGAGGGCTGGGAGCGCTTGGATTGGATCGGATGGGTTTTCCCCACTCCTGGCGGGGTGGCAGAGAAGAATGCGCCGGGACCGCCCTAAAGGGTTTCCGGAGCCCCTGTCCTGGCTGGCTGGCAGCACGGAGCTGGTAGGGTTGCGGGGACACTGAGTTCCCAGACTAGGCAGTGGCGTCGCGTCCCAGGTGGCGACGAGGGTGGCCGGAGGGCTTGGTTTGTCCTCCGGCGAGAGAGAGCCAGATGTGCGCGAGGGACAGGCGACCGGCAGCCGTTGGAGCGCGACGCTGGTTCCCAGCGGAGAGCCAGCCGCCGTGCGCGCTCAGAGCTGCAGGGCCATCCTGACACAGGCAGGCCCGGGCCGACCATGGACCCTGAAGGCAGCGAGACATCCTCAGGCTCCTTGGAACAGCCGGAGCAACCCCCGGGGCGTCCCGTACGCTCAGGGAGTCTCGCACCTCGGGCGCGTCCCGTGCACTCGGCGCGGTCCTCACGGCGTCCAGGAGCCGGTGCGGACGCCCAGCCCTCAACGACGCCCACGGCACCCGAACATAAGACGTCTGCCAGAGACGAAGACGAAGCGCCCCAGTCGGCAGAGAAGGAGGAGGCCATCCAACAGCGCGCCGAAGGCCGGGCCAAAGTCCCGCCCAAATTCAGGGACAGCCTCAAGAAATTTTTCTTCTCGCCCACAGGAGGGTTGAAGGTCGCGAGGCTGGTGAGCAGAGAGAGCGAGTGCCCGGGCTGTGCGGATGCAGGCTGCGTCCCAAGGGGATGATTCCGCGCGGGAGGGCGCCCCTGGGAGGCTCCCGTAATTCCCTGTTTCAGGCACCTCTGTTTTGCCTCGCCTTTCCTCCCGCGCTCCCTTTACTCCTCCCCCACATTCTTACCACTGAATTTGGCTTTTTTGCCCCCTCGTCTTTCATAGTTCTCAGGTTTCCCCTCACGAAGGGAATTAGGGAAGCAATGAAGGTAATAGCAGAAATGTGTAAATTCTATTACAAAAATAATGGAATTGACCAATAAAATTGATAAACCACCAGCCAATATAACAGGAAAAAAGGGGAAAAGAGAGGATATATATTTAAAGTTAAAAACCAGAAGGGGAAAATAATGACAAACACCGATGAAACTGAAAGGATCCACAAGAGTACTTTGCAAAACAAATTTGAATTAGATGAAATAGTCAGTTTTCTAGGAAAATATAAATTACCCAAACTGATCCCAGAATAGAGAAAAACCTAAACAGACCAATATAAACACGGAAGAAAATGAGATCTTATCAAGTGAATATCTTTCAGAAATGTATGAGTCAGACTTTTTCACAGGTTAACGCAAAGCTTCATGGGATGTAATTCTAACACTATTTAAAGTTTTTCAAAGAATAGAGAAAGAAGAAACACTTCTGACCTATTTTTACAAAGTCTGATATCAAAACCTAACCAAGTTCAGAAAAAGAGAACTAAATAGAAATCATATCATTATCACTCATATCAAAGCAACAAGTATTAATATATTGGCAGAAAATATTCAATACTTTTTTAAAAACACCATGAAGAAGAAACATAAGGATGACTCAATATTAGGACTTTACTAAAGTAATCCACCATATTATAAGTAAAAGGAGAAAGAATCAGAGTATATAAAATAGGGTAGAGAACACATTTGACAAAATTCAACGTTCATTTCTGACTGAAAAAAAAAGAGACCAGTAAAATAGGAATACATAGATATTTCACAGACATTATAAAAATAAACCCAAAATTCAGCATCGTATATAATTAAACATCAGAGATGTTCCCATTAAAATGAGGAACAGGGGCCAGCCTTATGGCATAGTGGTTAACATCACACATTCCACTTTGGCAGCACCGAGTTCTGGCGCTGGGGTCCTCGGCGCAGACCTACACAGCATTCATCAAGCCATGCTGTGGCGACATACCACATACAAAATGGAGAAAGACCGGCACAGATGTTAGCTCAGGGCCAATCTTCCTCACCAAAAAAAGAGAGGAACAAAGAGGATGCCCACTATCAATGCTGTTATTCAATATTTTTCTGGAACCACTAGTCATCACAATTAGGCAGGAAAAAAGAAATAAGAACATTTGAAAAGAAGAGGCAAAATATACTTTTCTTTCAACTGATATGAGCATATATCTAAAAAAACTCAAAATCAACTAGAAAACAATTTAGTACAAGATAATTTCTACAAACTCCTTTACGTTTTCATCCACTAACTTGTAGAAATGAGAAAACAAGCACTTAAAATAAAATATTTCTCTTTACAACAGCAATCAAAATGATAAATATCTAAGACTGAGTAAAATAAATTTGAAAGACCTATATGAAGAAAGCTTTTTAAAATTCTGAGAGATATTTTAAAACCATTAAAATAACTGGAAAGACATACTTTGCTCTTGAATGGTAAGACTAAATTTTGTAATCTTTCCAAATTATAAGTTAAATGAAATGCCAATTAAAATACTGACAGGCTTAGTTTGGGGGACTTGACCAAGACAAACATAGGAGACATACTCAGAGAATCAGGACCGAAAGGGGGGCTAGGCCAGACAACCACACAATGCAAAACAAATTGCCTGTAATTTCAAAAGTACTAGAGAAGAAATCGGCAACTCAATGGAAGAGACGAGTCTCAAAACAGACCCAAATACATCTGAGAATTTAGTGTATGATAACGGTTGGATTTCAGATCAGTGGGGAAAATCCGGGTGTTTCCCAGTAAATGATATTGGGATAATCAGCAGCTGTTTGGAAAGAAAGCAAGCTGGGCTCTACCTTACTCTTTCCATCAAAGTCAGTATGTCTTTACTCTACTTTACCTGTATATACATATTTCTTTCTGGTATGAAACATACACTGTTAACAGTGGTTACTTTTAAGGAGATAGACAAGGGTTGGTTGAGGGATGAGAAAGAAATTGACATTATTTTTTTACCCTTCTATACTTGTGCATTTTTATTATTTGCATGTATTATTTCATTTCTTAAAAATATAAGAAATTTTAAAAATAAAATGTATGTGCAAAACAATACAGGCAATTATAATATAATCAGATTTACCTTCTGACAATTTATAGTTTGTCTTTTTTTAAAGCCCATGTGCATTAAAACAAATCCTGTTTCTTTTATTGCAGGGTCTTCTCATAGGAGCATTAGCTTGTTTCATCACTGCCAAAGCCCATGAGTGGTATATAGCAGTCACAATTCTGGAAATACTCATCGTTCTTTATTTTATTCTATCATATATGCTAACCCTTCACCACTTGCTGACTTATTTAGATTGGCCCTTACTTGTAAGTGTTCATGTTCATAATCTGAATATAAGCTTTGCCCTCAGCCCCAGAGAAAGGCTCTCCTCAAGTAAAAACAACAGAGCTGTCTCTCTAGACAAGGACATGGCTGAGCTGTAACAGTTAGGGTGTTGCCCTAGTCCCAGGGGAGAAACTAGCCTAATACCCAGAAAGATTCCTTGGCCCCCTCTGTCTACAAGACAAGCACCACACACACCTACTTCCATCTCATTATGGCACTGATCACACGGTACTTTTCAGCTTGTCCTAAAGAAAATTTTAATTAGTATATTTAGTAGGTAAACACACTTCTCACCTATTGCTTGTAAAACAGCACATGCTTCTGCTTTTCAAACAGCACCCTTTCAACAGATTATAAACATCTCCCCCAAAGCAAGAGTCAACATTGCAGAAAATTGTCACGCATACCCTGAAAGATTGCAGGAGTCAACATTTTCATGTGTGTTAAGGGTCCATACCCGAATGGGTGCCATATGGTGGAGTATTCAGGAAAAGATATTGCATAGCCTTCTTCAGTAACATTTTCCAGAATTCCATATTTACCAATTGAAAGATTCCCAAAGCTCATCCCGCAGGTCTCAAATCCTATTTGTTGTGGAGCCTGAGGCTCTGCATCCTTACAGACTAGAACTACAGTTTTGCACATATACAGACATAGGCCCAGTTCCTGGCCCTTACTAGCTGTGTGAACTTTAGCTCAGTTTCCCCATCTAGGAAATTCAGCGAAGGAAAAATGTAATGATAATAACTGCCTCATAGGGTTCTTATAACATTTAAATGTGTTTAAAACAAATAGCACAAAGCTTGGCACAAAGTTAACATTCACTACAAATGTCCATCAGACCCCATAAGGTAGCTGGGGGGCTTTTATCATTTTATCTTGCACTATGAACAATCCTAACTCCAAGCTCAGGCCTCTTCCACATCCCATTTCCTTATAGTCCTTTTTTTTTTTTTTTTTTTTTTGAGGAAAGTTAGCCCTGAGCTAATCCTCCTCTTTTTGCTGAGGAAGATTGGCCCTGAGCTAACATCTGTGCCCATCTTCCTCTATTTTTGTATATGGGACGCCTGCCACAGCATGGCTTGCTAAGTGGTGTGTGGGTCCGCACCAGATCAAAACCACAGAACACCGGGCCACTGAAGTGTAGTGCACGAACTTAACCACTACACAACAGGGCCGGCCCCTGTAGTACTTTTTTCTAACCTTAGGGTAGTATTGGTTGCTATTAAAGTAAAACTCAAAACATTTTCAAGTATGTGAGGGATTTTCTGAAAAGGCTGCTGAGCTCACTCTGTCCCACAGAGTGCCAAGCAACAGGAAGCAGAAAAGGCAAAATAAGAGCAACTTTAATTGGACGTATGGAAGACCCTCTCAGTTATGGAGAGCTGCAACCATGGAGAGGTTCTGAGGGGAAACTAAATCTCTGGCCATGGGACTTTACAAGAAGGGAAGGTAAAGTAACTGTTTTTGAGCACATACCATGTGCCGGATACTTTGTCACATATATTACCTTATTTAATCCTCACAACAACCTGATGAGGTTGTAATCATCCCCCACCCCCCATTTAATAGATGAGAAAATTGGATTAAAGAGATTAAGTTGCCATGGTCATATGTAGGCACAAGGAAACTCAGATTTGAGACTAGATCTACCTGACTCTAAAGCCCAGACTCTTTCCAGCCTTTATGCCCTTTTACCTTGTGATGGTTTCTCTGTCTCCACCCTCCCTACATCTTTGTCCTCCTTAGATTCTCTAAATTTTATGTTCTCTGTAACTTCTGTTTCCTCGTGGCTTCCTTAAAATATGGAGCCAAAGGTGAATTGATTATCCTGGGGCTGTGTACAGGCCCTTGGGGATGGGTGACCGAGGGTTCCACCACACCAAGGTCAGTAGCTGTGGTCAGGAGGACCAGAGCCCTCTCAAAAAAGATCCACTGCCACAAAGCTGAGAGGGCCTCAAGGCGGTAGGACCCTGGAGGAGTGTCCAGGAGATGTCTCAGAGGCAAGAGGTGGGTCTCCTAAGCATGAACCATGACGGTCCTGTGAAAGGAGCTGCTCCCACAGCAGCTGCCTGGTTACAGGCAGCTCAGGCCAGCTTTTGTAGAGCTGCAAGCCTTTGGTCAACTGATAAAGCCAGGCCCCCTTTTGCTACCTCCATCCTTGGGTGAGAACATTCTCTTTTCTTTGGATAGCTATGGAAGCCCAGAGCACGGTTCAGAGCCCCTGCCTTTTTCTTGCTCCTATCCTCCAGGGGATGGGCCAGGGTCTGGAACAGCACATGGATATGCCTGGTGAGCTCCCAGGAGCTTCACAGTTGAGAAACTGTCTTACCAAGAAGGTTGCCCAGTTATTCTGATGCTCAACTAACTAGCAGTACTAGGAAACCGCATGCTATCCTACACAGTTGGCCAGATGGTGAGTGATCTAGTTGACTTGGAAGGTTTTTAAAAGGACCCATCAAAACAAGATTCAAAACTGTTTTCTTCTCCTCGCCTGTCCCTTCCTGTCTTATCTGCCCTTTCAGATCGGTAAGATGAAGGACATGTACATATAAGATTGCTCAGAGGGGTAAAGAGCTACCACTGGGTGGTAATAGGGAGGCCTTGGTAGGGCAGGAATGTGCTGATTTAGTGACAGTATTGGTGCCTAGGAGGTGACTACTTGATACTTCAGAGAGTAGGTTCACTTGGAGATGTGTTGGCATCAAGCTACAGAAATCACTTGAGATCTTATCGAATGGTCAGCACGGGAAGCCAGAGAACACATGGCCCATTTCACACTGCAACTGTTTCAGGGTTCTGCATAGGCTCACTGGCCTACCCACACACTAGAGGTGTCCAGCATGCACAGCTGTCACTTTCTTTCAGCCCTTCTTTCCAAGCAAGATGGTTTGGTGCCCAGGAGGTATAGGATTAGGGTAAGGAGTTCTGACATTAAGTGGCAGTCTCCTTAAAGGCTCACATGAGGATAGAATTCTTTCTTACCCTATACACATTCTTGTTTGGCAAAGGGCTAAGGGTGAAAGTCCCCAGCAGGGAGATAGCAAGTCTGATAAATAAGGGCTTCAGACCCTCAGCAGGGCAGCCTCAAAGAGTACTGGCCTCCAATACAGATGACCTGCTGAAATCTGTGGGCTCTGGGACTGTATTTTGGCAAGGCCTCCTCTGGAGAGGTCATGGAGCCTGGGTTTGGGGACCTACCTAGTCTCAGTTGCAGCTTCTCACTTCTCACAGCTTTCCTCACCTCACCCATGGTGGGATCTCTGTCTTCATTTACAGACATTGTTCTCCATTTTACCCACTCTAGTCTAGTGTCATCTGTCAATATACCCAAGAAAAGTATGAACTGTAATTATTGTCTTGTAAATAGCTCATATTTTTAATACTTCTACATTGTAAAAAATATTATCAAAGAAACTGAGTTCTGGTCAAGCAGATGTTTTTGCCAATAGAAAGCACTTTCTTTAAAAAAGAACATAATAAATATATTTTAAACTTAAACTCTATAGAAGTGATGATTGCCAAACTACCAGCAATATCTTTACATTTATAAGTAACAAGTATCAGCTTTAGATGTCCCCTTCAAACAAGATTAATGAAAAACAGCAATTCTGGCGATTTCTGATCAGGCTCTGCCATGTGTTTGGAGAACTCCAGGCACAAATGGAACCAATGAAAGTTGCAGTTAGTTGAATAACAAATAATATTTATTGTATATGAATTCTTGTTACAAATACCACATTTGGTAAAACAAATTGTAAATGTTTAACTTTTTTTCTAATATTCAGTGGTTTTCAAAAATAAGCATTCACCATTAAAGCATCTTTTTCTTTCCCAGTTATAATTCTACACAATTTTGTTTATCTCAGAGAACAGTTTGGGAGCTTTATGGAAAAATAATAGTCAAGTAACAAACCCATCTCTCAGTTTAGTCAGAGGGGGCTACTTAATAGGATATTTGGTCAAAGGGGAAAGAAAAAGATGATGAGTAGGGACAGCATTTATGGGGAAATCAAAAGTCCTACTGCACATGGCACAGCTCAGCTATGATTTTGCCCCATCAGGGAGAATATCTCTCTCTCTCTGTCAAAGACAAGGCCAACAAGAGGGTGTGTGTCTAAGGCAAAAGGGAGGGTGTTTAGTCAGAAGAAGGGCCCTAAGGCACTAAAATCAGACTGCCAAGGGTCATAGTCACTTACTGGCTGAGCAACCTCATGCAAGTGGCTTACCCATCTGTAAACTGGGGATAATGCGAGTTTGTTGTGAGAATCAAATGAGATCACATATTAACACCTTGGCACAGTACATGACACATAGTAAGTGCTCAAGAAATGTGAGCTACAATAGAAATGTTAGGTTCAAGGCAAACGTTAGCTTCAAGGGAGAGTTCAGGAGAGCACTTCCTTGCGAGTAAGGACTGGAGTAAACTATAACATCCAGTAGTCCAACAAGGAGATGGAATTATGACAAGGAGTCAATGATGGGCTAGCGAGGCCTAGTCTGTCTTTGGTTTATTATCATCATCATTACTAATGTGCTTTCATCCAAATTCTCAATGGTCTATGACTACAGCTAGTTAATTTTTATTTTAAAAAGTTTACATTCCACTTCTTAGTTGTAAGAGTCCTGGTCACATCTTTGAATGTCTTGGTTTACACAATCCTCAGATGCTAAGCTTCCTGAAACGCTGCAAATCGCTGTACCTGCCCCACTCTGGGCCCACCTCTCCTCACCCTACAGAACCCAGCTGGAACTTACTTTCAACCCTCACTAGCCCTGCTCCATGTCCCCCTTCCACTGTTACCCACCAAGCACCCAGATAACAGACATCAGTGCCCTTCAAGAGGCAAGTCACATTCCTCGATAGGGCTCCCTGCTCACCAACCTCAACACCTGAAGTTTGCAGAAAGTTTACTATATGTGCATATTTTGAAAGTAGATATCACAAATGTACATTTGGATGCACTGGATGCCAGGCAGCTTAATTGATGCTTTCAGATTCATTATGTCATTTAATCCTCTGATCAACCCAATGAATCTCAATCATTACCCCCATATTAAAAATTAGCATGTTGGCAAAGAGGGGTGATAAAACATGCCCCAGGTCACACATCTAGGAATTGGCAGGCCAAAAGAGTTCATCAACAACAAACATTCTCACCTTATTTGTCCCATACCATTTTGACCCTCTAATGACCCATTCCACAGAAAATGCCAAAGATGGATTCTGCACTTCCAACCTAGGGGGATAGCTCATTTCCTTCTTATTTGGGTGTCCCTGATGGGAGGCAATAATGTGTTGAGTTCTGACCCTACTCCATGACAGATATTCCATCTTAGGCAATTTAATCAACCTCTCTAAGCCTCTGTTACATCCTCTTAAAATGGGGATCATAACATCACTGACTTTGGAGGGTGTTCATGAGGGTTAAATGAGATAATGCCTGGGAAATGTTGGCACATTGCAGAGGTCCATTAGAGCCATTATGATTCCATGCACTGGATGGCAGGGCTCCTTGCTGTGTTTGGGCAAGTGCACCAAGGCTGAGAGAGACACTAACACTACCAAGTCAAGCCACCAAGACTTAAAGACTTAAATGTTCAAATTAGATATCTGGGCCATATTGTGGTTTTATCACCCTAGGCTTTTCCCCTCCCCACACACTGGTGTCACTGACACATTGAGTACCCTCTCTTCCGTTATTGCTCAGCTACCAAAGCCCAGTCTCTGCTTATACTCAGGAGTGCACCTCCATCCATTCATCCTCACCCTTTGTCTAGCACACAAAGAAGCAGACTAGCCTAGCCGCTAAAGAACCCAGTACTGAAATCCAGAAGGAAGGATACAAATAGCCTACAGATGTCAGGACAGACTCAATTCTGGCCAGGTCTTAGAAAAGAGCAAGGGCCGGCCCTGTGGCCGAGTGGTTAAGTCCGCACTCTCCACTTTGGTGGCCCAGGGTTCACCAATTCAGATCCTAGGAACAGACATGGCACTGCTCATCAAGCCATGCTGTGGTGGCATCCCACATAGAAGAACTGGAATGACTTGCAATTAGGGGCTTTGTGGGGAGGAAAAAAAAAAAATGAAAGAGGAAGATTGGCAACAGATGTTAGCTCGGGGCCAATCTTAAAAAAAAAAAAAGCAAAAGTCAACAGCACAGGCATTCACTCCAGAATACCAGGTCTGCTCCTCAAAGGGGTTCCCACCTTCTTGGCACGTGTCAACCTATAGAATAAATATGACCTAACTTCCAGAGTATTGGTTCTACCTACAGATTTGGGAGTGGAATTAAATCAGTAAAGTGCTCATCTAAAATTTTATTTTATTTTATTTTATTTTATTTATTTTTTGATGAAGAAGATTGGCCCTGAGCTAACATCTGTCGCAATCTTCCTCTATTTTGTAAGTGGGCCGCCTCCACAACATGGCTTTGATGAGTGGTGTAGGTCCACACCCAGGATCCAAACCTGCAAATCTGGGCCACCAAAGCAGAACACGTGAACTTAACCACTACACCACTGGGCTGGCCTCCTAAAATTTTATTTTTATATTAAAACAAATGTAGTATGGAATATAATGCAGAATTTACATTAATTTAAAATAGAAGACTTCAAGAAATCATATTTATGGAAGGCCAATTTGGGCTGGGCCCCCAGACCTCTAGGTTTTTTCATGCCCACTTTCCTATGCCCTTTAAGAAAAGTCTGATGGAAAAGTTCTCAGCTTTTTTTTATGGTATTCTTTAATGAAATTAAACCTACTGCTGCTGACAAAGTCCTATCCAAGAATCTTAAAATCACATAAACTCACATCTCTGGAAGATGTAAGAAGTATACTGCTGAGGGTTCCTCCTCATAGTAATCAAAAGGAAAGTTTAAAAAGGGCATCCATCCTTAGATGGGTAGTTGACCAATTTAAATATTTTAGGAAATTACATTTTCATGTAAAATTGACAATTTTTAATTCTGTATTACAGGATCTTATCAATACTTGCATTTCAGCTGTGTTCCTTTCAATAGTTGCTGTCTTGGCCATGCAAGAAAAGGAAAGAAGGCATTTATTCTATCTTGGAGGGGTAAGTAGAGGCCTTCATGACTCCATTTAAGATCAGTATTTCAAGACTCTTTGAAACAGGAAACTGTCAGACCATCATTGTTTCATTTATAGAACAACGTCCCCCCACCGCCCCTTCTCTTTCTTGCACTGACTTCTTCAGAAGATGTGAAGTTGCACAAACTCTAAGCTCATGAAAATCTTCATTGTGATACTCATTCTCCAAATAGGTACAAAAACAAGTCTGTTGAACCCTTTTTGAGAATCGTACACACTATTTTTTGAAATGTTCCAGCAAGATGTTCTTGTCTATAAATAGGACTTTGACTTTTCCAGAGTAGAGAATTATATTTTAAAAGCACATGAAAAGAATGATTGTGGGGGGAAAAAAGTGCATTGTCAAAAGTGAGTGACCCAGCCTATTTAGGAAAGAAGGATGGAAGTTCCCAGCATGTGCCCCCCACCAGGCTAGGCACAATCTAAGTTAATCTTTACAACTCTCATGTTTACAGATACGGGAACTGAGATTAAATACCTTGCCCTGGGTCACAAGGCTGGGACAAACTGGGACTCAAATCCTTATTATATGAAGAGCACAAGAAATGGCTGATGGAGGGGTCACGGGTGGGGAGGCGAGACTTTGGTTTAAGAAGTTAAGCAATGGGAACAGAAATTAATCCAGAAAAAAAGTTTAAATTCTTTCAGTTCATTCCATCATTAGTAAATATTTGTCAATCCTATTGGATTGTGCCAGGCCTGAGCTCAGTGTTGGAGATAGAGTCCCTTCCCCCGGGGTAGCTCACAGATTAGCTAGGGCAACACCTCCCTAGGAAAAGTTCATTAAAGTAGCCAGGGATTAAGTGACCATAAAGAGAAATATCCAAGACAGGCAGGAGCTGAGGAGCACCAGGGACCTCAGACACTGTGGTCTGCTGGTCCCCATCTGCTACCTCAGCCAGCAAACCACCTTCTACCTGCCACCCCCGGTCTCTGTCAGTTCTCTCCTGGATGGCAGAGTGCCCCCACTCCCCAGTGGTCTCCCTGCCTCCAGCCTGGTTGTTCATTTTCCCTGAGCCTCATGGCTACTCCAAGTGGGCTTTCTGAGTCTGGCACCCGACCTCGCCTCTTGATCAAGTCCCAGATCCTGCACCTCCCCAGCCTCAACTCTGCCTCCTCCCTTACCAGCTTCAGAGGTCTCAGCCACCCCAGATTCCTTGGAAACTCCTTCCTGCCCTTTCAAACACAGCGCAAGAGTCCTTTCCACTGAGAGGCCTTCTCAGGCTCCCACCCGGACCTGAGGCCTCCTAGAGCTAGTGCCCCTCTCTGGTCCTTTCCTGGTGCCTCAGGCTTCAGGTGACGTCATTACTGGCAGCAAAACCCACCATTTCCAAAATCCCTTTCTCTGGGAATGGCAGAATGGGCTGCGGCAGCCAGTTGGGCAGACACCAGAAGGTAGTGGAAGGTCAGAGGGAGACAGAAGGCCGCGGGAAGCCCCGGCCTGGTATGGGGGATAGGGAAGACGAATTGCTGCTGAGCTGCAGAATAACCCCGCTTTTCCCTCCCCGCATATGGCCTTGTGTCTGACAGATCCTGTGTCTCACAGCAGTACTCATGACTGTCATCGATGGGATTCTGGTTACCAAGATGATAAGGAATATTTTGAAAAAATTCCTGGGGTTCAGTACCGAAACTAAGCCTGTGCCTGCCCTGGCAGACTCAAAGGCACCCCCGAAGACAACCAAGCTGGCACCCTCAAAGCCACCCAAGAAGGCATCTTCAAAGGCACCCAAGCGGGCAGCTTCAAAGGCACCCAAGCGGGCATCCTCCAAGGCACCCAAGCGGGCAGCTTCAAAGGCACCCAAGCGGGCATCCTCAAAGGCACCCAAGCGAGTGTCCTCAAAGGCACCCTCGCAGGCATCCTCAAAGGCACCCAAGCGAGTGTCCTCAAAGGCACCCACGCAGGCACCCTCGCAGACATAAGCGTCTGTGTCTCACCCCTCCCACCACTGAGCTCGCATGCTGTCACCCGTTTCGGCCTACATATGATCATAAAATCAGGGCTGCTAAGTTGGGAACACTTCTGCTTCACGTGTTACCTTGTGTAAAAGTCGAGTTACATTTTCATGCACCTGCCCATGCCCCGAGGGGCGCTGGGCGCCGCTGCCCCAGGAGCCCTTGGCGAGGGCCTTGACCCGGCCCTGGTCCCAGCCAACTGGATCCAAGGCGGGAGCAGCGGCTACAGCCCCGGGGCCACCTTGCGAGGCCTCGCTAGACTGTGAGGGGAGCCACGCGCGAAGGTGGGAGCCCCGTGGTGGGCCCGGAGGTGGGGCGGGGACTCCTGCGTGGAGGGTGGGCGGGCCCGGCGGCCGTGGGTCCCTGGAACCCGCGCTGGGCCGCACAGGGGAGACTCGCGCGGTGAGACGGCGCGCGCGCGGAAAGGGCGCCAGGCGTTGGCGTTCGCAGGACCGGCCGTTGGCTGAGCGCGGCCCCTGAGCAGGTCGGTGGGCACCAGCCTCGCTCAAAGGCCAGGCCTGTCCGGGGACAGCAAGAGAGATTGGGCAGGCCGTGAGAAGCTGAGAACTCCCCCGCAAAGATGGCTGACAAAGGCAAAAAGGGCAAAGATGCAGCCCCAGCGGCCCCTCCTCCGGGCGCCAAACCCCCGGACAAGAAAGATGAGAAGGTGGAGGAGAAGCCACCAGAAAAGAAGGTGGAGCCCAAGGATGAAGTGGGCACGAGGAAGGGATGTCGCCGCTACAAGTGGGAACTCAAGGACAGCAATAAAGAGTTCTGGTCTATGGGGCACGCCATGGTCAAGATTCTGAGCTTGGTAAGTTGGGCTGGTATCCCGGGAAGCAGGGGGTGCAACAAGGGGGAGAGAGCGAGGGAGCGGGTTCCAGGGGGCTCCAGAGGGGCTCCAAGAGTCCGTGACAGCCCTTTGCCGTGGCTCAGGAGCATGTCTCCCGGCAGGGCTGCCTAATAGGTTCGCTGATAATGTTCACTGGGAGCATCGTTCACCCCCTCCTGACACTCATCATCACCATGGAGATATCCATCTTCAGCTTCTTATTCGTTATCTACACCTTCGCCATCCACAGATACTTGCCCTTCGTCCTGTGGCCCATTGCTGTAAGTGAGGGGCGGTGGGGAGCGCCTGAGGTTGGTGTGCATTCACGCGTGTGTCTTGACACCCTGAAAGTGACTGTTCTGTCACCGCCCATATGTGTGCCCCGGGCATGGGCTGAGCACCTTTGGGGCTGGGGTAGGGCAACTGAAGTTAGGTAGAAAAGGCTCTGTAAACGCCTGACTTGGAAGCGGGGGCCACTTACTTACCTGGTGGTCAACGAAGGGGTCTTTGCTCTCCCGAAGCTTTGCCCTCCTTGGGAGGAGGAGATGTATAACAACCAGCTGTTCCTCCCAAGCCCTGTTCCAGCTCACACCTGACTGGAGAGATCACCCCAGAAGGTACCCCATCCCCAGAATTCAAAAAAGAAAATCAATCTTCCCATAAATCAGTAAAATAAAATGAGGATTTTTTAAAAATCACTTCCAAAGCAGCTTTAGACCTCCAGTGACTATCCTTGTATAGAATGTTAATTAAGCCCAGAAGGATGTTCAGCCCCAAGCAGTCATCCATTGGAACGGAATTGAGCTGGGCAAGTTACCCAACCACTCCCGGCCTCTGTTTCCGCATCCGTAACGTGAGGACAGTAATAATCTCTGATGGGATTGTACCTGAGGAGTAAACGTACAGCGCTTGATGCGGTGCTTGAGTCCTCATGGACTTGAATCACTGCCTGTCACCTGTGTGATCACAGAGCACACCCCCGTTACCCAAAGCCCCTTGTTCTTCGCACATTCACAGCATGCCTCCAGAGCCCTATGCTCACTGTTTCACTCACTTTACACATGAAATGGGCTCAGAATGGCCAAGTAACTTGCCCCCAGGAAACTCAGCTAGTAAGTGGCAGAAAAAGGATGCAAATCCAGTTTTGTCAGTAGAGTCTGAGTCCCTAACTACCTGCTAACCTGCCTCCTTGTTAAAAGTTATTAGAGACCAGGAGTTCATAGGTCTCAGTGGCATAGGTGAGGACCCCTAGTATAGGGAGAAAGAAGAAGAGGGCCAAATAAGACTCTTGGGAAAGGAATAAACAGAGGACAAAGTAATGGGACAGGCAGAGGACAAGTTTTCAGCCACGGAGCTTGAGAAGATACTTAGTCCCAGCAAGATGAAAAATCAATGAACCCTGGAAGTCCTCCTGCTGCTCTTAGCTGAAACCCCTAGGGGAGATGCAAGCGCTATTGCTTTAGCTGAAAGGCTGAGCTGGCAAAAGAGAGGGAAACACACATGCCAGAAATGAAAAACAGGAGCAGGGATCAAATCAGCTGCTGAAGTGTGGTTGGGAATGGCCCACAGATACTATCCCAGGAACCTAGAGTATGGATTTTCATACACTCTCAAGTTAGTAGATGAGACCTTGGTCCCAAGCAAAGTGGGGATTTAGAACTGAGGACCCTGCATAAAGCTAGCACCTTGCAAAGACTGCACCCTTTGGGAAAAGACCAACAGAGAAGACACCTTTCCCACACACAGAGGAACAATAAAGCGTGTTCGTCTCTGCCTGAGCTTTGAGTGGAAAAACAAAAAAGACCACCTTGAGAAATAGCAACCTTGAGCCTGCACTTTGTGCAGAGTTGGTTTGAATTTTTACTGCCTTCAGCCTAGAAATCTTCATGCAGCCCAGAAAACTTCATGCCTGGGAATAACATTAAAAATTGACCCCAGTTTGAGGATATTCCAATGATATCCTTGGGACTCCTGACAGAAACAAATGCAAAATCACAATCAAAGTGTAAAGAGATTCTCACAGGTCAGGAAGTGAGGGGGAGGGAGCCTTGTCAAAAATGAACTCACAGTTGAAAACTGCAAAACACCTGATTTTAAAATCCCCATGAGTAAGAATCAAGAATCAGCAACCATAACAAATGGGAGGATTAGAACCCTGGGAATATGAGATAATAGAAGAGCTGTCTGAAAATAATAAGAAATATACTTAAAATTATTAAAAAACATAAATAAGAGCCCTAAGGAAAAAACAAGACGTTATGAGGACAGAATAGACAGATTTTTTTAAGTATAAAATGTAATGTCTAGAATTGAACATATGGTTATTGAAATAAAAATGTCAATAGATGGGTTAAAAAGCATATCAGACAAAGCTGGAGAATTAGTGAATGAAAGATGTGGGGAAATTACCCAGGATATAGCACTGAGAGATGGAGAGAGAAAACATGAAAGAGAGAAGTTGAGGCACACAAGGGAATAAGAAAGTCCACCATAAGCCTAATAGGAATTCCAGAAGAAGAAACTTAATGGAAGAGAGGAAATATTCAAAGTGTTAATGACTGAGAACTCTCCAGAGCTAATGAAAGTGACATCACTAAAAATGGCAGAGTAGGGAACTCCAAAACTCAGTTCCTCCACTAAACCCATGATTAGGCTATCAAAAACTGTCAGAATCAGCAAACACAGGCTCAGAGTGAAGGGGTGGAAGACAATACTCCAAGCTAATGGCAAACAAAAGAAAACAGGTGTCACAATACTTATATCAGACAAAGTAGACTTCAAGATAAGACAGGTAAAGAGAGACAAAGAGGGGCAGTATATAATGATCAAAGGGACACTCCATCAAGAAGAAATAACGCTTATAAATATCTATGCACCCAACACTGGAGTATCAAATTTCATAAAGCAACTACTAAAAAACCTAAAAAAAGATATTAATAATAACACAATAATAGTAGGGAACCTAAACACCCCACTCACATCAATGGATAGATCATCCAGACAGAAAATCAACAAGGAAACAGTGGAATTAAATGAAAAGCTAAATCAGTTTGACTTAATAGACATATATAGAACACTCCATCCAAAAAGAGCTGAATACACATTCTTCTCAAGTGCTCACAGAACTTTCTCAAGGATACACCATATGTCAGGAAACAAGGCAAGCCTCAATAAATTTAAGAAAATTGAAATAATAACAAGCATCTTTTCCAATCATAATGCTATAAAGCTAAAAATTAATTACAAGAAAAAAGCTGAGAAAGGGACAAAGATGTAGAGACTAAACAACATGCTATTGAACAAGCAATGGATCATTGGAGAAATCAAAAAATATCTGGAGACAAATGAAAATGAAAACATACCAACTCGTATGGGATGCAACAAAAGCCATATTAAGAGGGAAATTCATTGCAATACAGGCACACCTTAACAAACAAGAAAAATCCCAAATAAACAATTTCAAATGACATGTAACTGAGTTAGAAAAAGAAAAACAAACACAGCCCAAAGTCAGCAGAAGGAGAGAAATAATAAAAATCAGAGCAGAAATAAATGCTATTGAAACAAAAAAGGCAGTAGGAAGGATCAATGGAACAAACAGCTGGTTCTTTGAGAAGATAAATAAAATTGACAAACCCCTAGCCAGACTTACAAAAAAAAAAAAGGAGAGAGAGAGAGAGAAAGCTAAGATAAACAAAATCAGAAAGAAAAGAGGAGAAATAACAACCGACTCCACAGAAATACAGCAGATTATAAGAGAATACTATGAAAAACTGTATGCCAACAAAATGGATAACCTAGAGGAAATGGATAAATTCTTAGACTCTTACAACCTCCCAAAGCTGAGTGAAAAAGAAACAGACAATCTGAATAGACCAATCACAAGAAAAGAGATTGAAACAATAATCAAAAGCATCGTAAGAATAAAACCCCAGGACCAGACAGCTTTCCTGGGGAATTTTACCAAACTTTCAGAGAGGATTTAATACCTATCCTTCTCAGGCTATTCCAAAAAATTAGGGAAGATGGAATGCTTTCTAACACATTCTATAAGGCCAATGTCACTCTGATACCAAAGCCTGACAAGGACAGCACAGAAAAGGAAAACCACAGGCCAATATCACTGATGAACATAGATACAAAAATCCTCAACAAAATTTTGGCAACCTGAATTCAGCAGTAAATGAAAAGGGTCATACATCACGATCAAGTGAGATTCATACCAGGGGCATAAGGATGGTTCAACATCCACAAATCAATCAATGTGATACACCACATCAACAAATTGAGGAATAAAAACCACATGATCATCTCAATAGCTGCAGAGAAAGCATTTGACAAGATCCAATAGCCATTTAGATAAAAACTCTTAACAAAATGGGCATAGAAGGAAGTTACCTCAACATAATAAAGGCCATATATGACAAACCCACAGCCAACATCATACTCAATGGGCAAAAGCCGAACACTATCCCCCTGAGAATAGGAACAAGACAAGGACGCCCACTATCACCCCTCTTATTCAACATAGTACTAGAGGTTTGGGCCAGAGCAATTAGGCAGGAGAAAGGAATACAAGGAATCCAAATAGGAAGTGAAGAAGTGAAACTCTCACTGTTTGCAGACAACTGTTTGCCGATCTTATATATAGAAAAACCCCAGAAAATCCTTCAGAAAACTAATAGAAATAATTAACAACTACAGTAAAGTTGCAGGGTGTAGAATCAACTTACAAAAATCAGTTGCTTTTCTGTGCTCCAATAACGAACTTATAAAAAGAGACTCAAGAATACAATTCCATTTGCAATTGCAACTAAAAGAATAAAGTACTTAGGAATAAATTCAACCAAGGAGGTGAAGGATTTATACAATGAAAACTATAAGACATTATTGAAAGAAATTGATAGTGACATAAAAAGATGGAAGGAGATTCTTTGCTCATGGATTGCAAGAATGAACATAGTTAAAATGTCCATACTACCCAAAGCAATCTACAGATTCAGTGCAATCCCTATCAGAATCCCAAAGACATTCTTCATGGAAATAAAGCAAAGAATCCTAAAATTCATATGGGGCAACCAAAGACCCCAAATTGTTAAGGCAGTCCTGAGAAAAAAGAACAAAGCTGGAGGTATCACAATCCCTGACTTCAAAATGCAATACAAAGCCATAGTGATCAAAACAGCATGGTACTGGGACAAAAACAGACACACAGATCAATGGAACAGAACTGAAAGCCCAGAAATCAAACCACACATCTACAGACAGCTAATCTTCAACA